ATGGTGGAAAAAGTCAATCTACACTCTGTTGGTGGCAGGATAGATTGGTGTGACATTTGTGAAGGGTGATTTGACAAACTCTATCCAAAATTTTTTTTTTTTAAACTAAGTTGCAAATGATAAATACAACGGTTTTGCTGTATGAAAAGCAAATATACTCAGAGAGACACATACCTGTATCTATGTATATTTTGGTATTCATAGAAAATTTCAGAAGATACAAAGGAAACTAACAGTGGTTACTCTAGAACTGAGAGGTAAAGTAACGAACAAATGGACCCATTTTAACTTATCTTTTTAAAAACTACTTGAAAATTAAAAAAAAAAAATTAAAAACTACTTGAATGTTTTTCTCTATATATATCAACCACAACAATAACAAAAACTAGATTAAAAGGACCCACAAGATTTAAGAGTACTAAAAGGAATTGTTTATAAAACTTTCTCATTATATTATTTTTATGCATGATTATGGTTATTATGTGACATACTAAACATATATATTATATGTGTAGTATAATAACTCATATGGTGATGAATCCCAAATTTATATCCCAGTTACTTTATAAGACTTGTATATTCAATTGCCTATTGAAATTTCCACTTGAATATCTAATATACATCTCAAGCTTAACGTGTCCCAAAATGAGTTCTTAATTTTCCTCCTAAAATTTGCTCCATCTCTGTAAATGGCGACTTTACTCTCCTAGTTGCTCAGGCCCCAAATTTTGGAGTCATCTTTGTCTTCCCTCTTAAGCCCAGGGTTGTGGCCCTGCACAAGAGCTTTGAAACACTGGGGCAAGTGAGTGCTAAAAATAGCCTCCCCACCTCACCCCACTGCCCTGCCGTGCCCTGGTACAGCGGTGTGTCTGCTGAAAGAATGGGACATTTTTTTGCTCACCAACAGAGGTGTCCTCAGGTTGTCAGGCACCCGGCAGGAAATAGCTATCCAAATCTCTGTAATAATCCGCACACAGGTGTTGGGTAACTAGTAGCCCTCAAGGACATGATCATCTCTACTTTCAAGCCATGATCATCTCTGCTTCTTTAAAATATATCCAGAATCGATCCAGTTCTTCACATACCGCATCCTCTGCTGCCTCAGTGGCAAAAACTTTCCTTCCCATCCTTGCTATGTGCCGTGCTGCATCTCAGTCGTGTCCGACTCTTAGCAACTCCATGGACTGCAGCCCGCCAGGCTCCTCTGTCCATGGGGATTCTCCAGGCAAGAATACTGGAGTGGATTGCCATGCCCTCCTCCAGTGATCTTCCCAACCCAGGGATCGAACCCAGGTCTCCTACACTGCAGGCAGATTCTTATCATCTGAGCCACCAGCAAACTATTACTGAACAGCCACAAGATGAAATCTTTGAAAACTCAAGTTGGACATAGCACTCCTCGATGAAAACTCATTGATAACACAACCCAAAACTTCCCATGACCATCAGACCCTTAAGATCTGGTTTCCCTCACCCTTGATCATCAGCATGGCCCCTCATTCACTCTGTTCCAACCACTAGCCTCCCCTCCCCACTCCCTGTGATTAAACAATGTATGTTCTCCTCTGCGTGCCTGGTCTGGAGAGTTCTTCTGCCTCTAAGAGCCACATGGCTTCTTTGGTAATTCTGCTTCAAACAGTACCATATCTGGAGGCTGCCCAGAGCCCAATTAAAACAGATTACTACCCTGTTCCTCAACACATAAGGCACTCTCCAGCCCACTTATCTTGCTTTATTTTATCTTTATAGGATTTATTATCACTTGATAACTACTACATATCTACTACTTTGTTATCTAAGATTGGAGGTACTTTGGGTGTATTGCTCACTGCTATATCCTAGACTCATGCATAGCAGAGTAGACACTCAACAATAAGTTGATGAATAAATGAATGAATATAATTATATTATCATTTATTAGTATTAGTGATAAGAATATATTTCTAAAATAGCAACTGTTTATTAAGGGCACTGTGTTGAGTGCTAATCTTTGCAAACATCCTTTTTATATACAAAAACACAAATCAAGCAATGATAATGAATTCATCCACGATCACTTAGTAAGCGACAAAGTCAGGATTTGAAACTCAGAATCTGTGACCACTAGTATCTACACTTTTAGGCAATGTCTTAAAATCTTTCCCAGTAATTCCATTTAACTGACTTTCAAAATACTTTTGTGCCTGCATGTAATGGGTCAGAGAGCTGAATAACAAATAGTGAATCAGAAACCTAAGATGGAAAGCCTTTAGTGTAATCTAACTTCTGAAGCAACAGCTAATTTCATGGAGCACTTGCTGGGTGTCAGGCAGGATTGAACATACAGCACCTTATTTGCTCAGACAACCCATGGCTTGGGTGCTGCTGTTATTCCCATTGTTACCGACAAGGACACAGAGGCACAGGTGTCACTCAACACTCTCAAGGCCACACAGCCTTCCACGGTGGAGCTGGAATTCTCAGTCATACCACGGAGCCTGCCTGAGCTGCCGGCTTCCTGTGAGCACCTACAGAAAGCCTGCAACAGGGCCATAAGGTACACATTTATCTTTTTTATTATAGGAAGTTTCAAACGTATACAAAGAAGAGAGGATAGTGTCATGATTCCCAAATGTCCATCATCTAGTTTCAGCCATCATCAATTTAAGCCGGCTTGGGAGCACCCATCCTCCTGGAAAGGTGGAGCATCTACATTAGAGTATAAGTCAATCTACCTCACTTGACCCTGGGCTTGAGTCTGTAGCTTATTTGAACTTGAATTTGTGTAACACCTCTTCTCATTTTAAATTGTAATGGTAGTGACTGACTCAGTTTATGTAGAAACCCTGACTTTACATCAAAGGGAGATGAGTCCACATAGATAAGAGCAGGTTCCAGATGTTATTTGCAAATGCTCCTTCCTTCAGCATCACTTACTATGATGACAAAGATAGTAAACATTACACTTTCTGTATTTGACTTTAGTCTAAGAAAGTAGAATTGGCAACTTATAAACTGCATGCATATCTACAAAGCATGATGGCTAACATATCTAGATGAATAAAGAGAAAACTCAGGGCAAAAAGAAATATATGCAGGAAGGACGCTCAGGTAGAGGGGTCAGCACTCTTCAGGACTGCAGAGTTACATCGCAGGGCACTTAAGTGCTCACCTAAGAACTTCACTCCCGTCAAAGACCCCTGAAGCTTCTCCTTTCCATTCTCACAACAAAAAATAAATCCATTTCTGTTAAATTTGCTACTGCCATTTCATTCTTTAAATATTTCCAAGTATATTTCATTTCCACATTTTATTTTATTTGTATAAATATGTGGAATAAATATATTCCACATATTTATTTTATTTCCACAGCTTATTTTATTTGCTGTCTCACAAGATTCTGCGTATTCAGTTCATGGATTGCCAGTGAATACAAAGAATGTTCTTGCTTTACCATAGCAACTTGAAGTTTACTTTGGAGTATAATACTTCCTAGTCCTCTGACTCAAGGTGGTCTAAAGATGGTCATATAGCTAATGTTCTAACAGGGCTGGAACCTAAGACATCTGACGGCCTTTCCTTTTGGGCTTTCCTGATGGCTCAGTGGGTGAAGAACCTGCCAACAACGCAGGAGCTGCAGGAGATGTGGGTTCGATCCCTGGGTTGGGAAGATCCCCTGGAGTAGGAAATGGCAAGCCATCCCAGTATTCTTTCGTGGCAAATTCCATGGACAGAGGAGCCCGGCAGGCTACAGTCCATGGGGTCACAAAGAGCTGGGCACAACGGGACACAGGAGCACGGCTCAAAGAGGCTTAACATGAAAATAACAGAGTGAACCTGCGGAAGGGACGCTTCAGATTCCAATCCATGTTTTCTTCTATATCGGGCACTTGAAAATTCAAAGAGAGGATGGTTGAAAGGCCGGATTTATGTATAGAATTCCCCTTGTCTCTTCATTTAGTCAAGCCTACATCTCTTGAATTTCAGTATGCAAAAGCATTACTATTCAGAGTTGAAGACATAAAATTATGTATACTAAACATCCAGAGCAATTTAAGGGAAATAATAAAGGTAAACTTGATAATACAAGAATTTTCACTTACCTTCACACTTTAGAGCTTAACCCTAGAAACAAACTACCATGTAATATGGGACTCTATTCTATGCCTAAATGCATGACTCTATCTTCAGGTAGTTATGTGGTTCTTAAAGTCTATAAAAAAGAATACAGTAAAACTTCAAGTTCTCTGAAAGAGATTCAAGTGGTCAGGAAAGAAGATCTTTCTCATGTCAGCAGTGCATGAAGAACGAAGCTTGTACTTTTTTTTCTATTCCCATCCTAAATCAGGTGTTCAGTGGGTACTTCCACAAATAATTTCTTTTTTTTTTAATTAAAAAAATTTTAATGGCATCACTAAATTTATCAGCAAGGATGAGGCATTCAATAAACTCCTGGGAAAACAGGTTAGCTATCTGAAGGAAAAAAATCAATTTATTACCTTATTTTTCACATGCAAGTAAGTTCCATATGGATCCAAGAATTATATATAAAAATGGAAGCATAAAAGCCAAGTTAAAAGAAAGATTACAGAGTTTTCTGCATAACTGTATGCAAAAAAATTTTAAAACTTGAATTAAAACAAAGATTAAAAACTCCAAAAACCCAAAGGTGAATTTACTAGGTGAATCCCAAAAGCCAGGTGGGAAGTGTGTTCCAGGACAAGTCTGACCCCAAATGCCCTTTCTTCCACAGTCTTTAGTCAAATCTCCACAAATAATTTCTTAAATAACTCAAGGAAGAAGTAATCACAGAAAAGAACAAATATGTTGGTTCAAAAAGCATGTAGTATTTTGGCTTTCAATAGACAACCCAGTTTAAGCCTTCACTATACATAGCAAACATTCCAAATTTTTTTACAAAAGACTTTAAAATATCTCAGTTAAGTAACTTAAATATTTCTTAAACATGATTAATTTCTTTAAATGTTTCAGATTGGAACTGAGGGCAGCAGGAGAAAGAATTTGGAATCTCAACAGAATCCACGGAACAACCGGTCCATCTGGAAAACTCGACAGCTGGAGCCTTTCATTTGCATAGCCTTGTTTCTCAATTTAATTTTTTTCAAGTGGATGAAATGCTTATGAAATTCACTGGGCGGATAACCCTGGAGACTTGAATCATTCAGCCAGGAAACAGTAACTCAAGGCAGGTCAGGTTTCTTGGGGGCAGTCAAGGTTTGGGGGCATCTGGTTCTCTCTCATTGTAGACTGGTCCATGGAAGAAATAATGTGTCTTGAGTTTTAATCAAGTTAATTGCTACAGAAGGTCCTGGGGAGGGTGATGGGCATACTTGTGGGGTTCTTGGAGCAAATACTAATTTCTTTAAAAAGTGTTCGCATTTACAGGGAAAAATACAAAACAGTTTTAGGATTAACCCACTGCTATCACCCTGTCAAAGCCATCATTATCATGGTTGTCTTATTTCTGCTTTGTTCCCTGACAATTTAAACTCAACATAGAAGCTAAAGTGATCCTATTAAGATAAAAGCCATATCACATCATCTGTCTCCTCAAAACCCTCCAAATGGTTTTATATTGTGTCAGAAAAAAAGTCAAAGTTCCCACTGGAGTCTGAGGCCCTGCCCTGCCACACTCCCCCGCCTGCTGACAATATGCGTTCCTCATCTCTCCTCCTCATCACTCTGCTTCGGCCACGGTGGCCTTGCTGTCCTGGGAATACGCCAAGATGCTCATACCAGGGACTTTGCACTTCTGCCCAGAACACTCTCTGGTCAGAGACCAAATGGGTAGCTCATCAAGTTGCTGTTCAAACGAGAGGTTCTATGCTGTGAGAAACATCACCCCGTCCGCCGCCGTGATGCTCTCCAGCTCACGGCTCCTGTCTGCAGCAGGAGCAGCATGCACCTCTGACCATCTGCTCTGCTTGCCTACTGTCTTTCCTAGACTGGACACTCTACAAAAACAGTGGCTGGGTTTTGTTTACTGCCCTCTCTCCAGCTTCTGAAACCGTGCCTGGCACATGCACAGTCAGCATGTCAAAGGAAAGAATGATACTGGCGTTACTAAGAGCAAGGAGGAAGCCCCAGCTGATTCCACATAAGCTCCGGTTGCCGGTCTAACTGCTTTACACGCAGTAACCCATGTCACCCCCACTACGGCCCTATACAGAGGTGCCGCTATTCTCCCCATATAATGGGTGGGGAGACTGAGACACAAGAAGTTAGTTTTTGCCCAAGATCATACAACAAATTAACAAGCTGGAAAGGGTTTGGGGATTGTTAATTAACTCACTCCTTTTTAATTTACAGATGGGAAGACCATATCCAGGTGAGATGCTAATGAGAAGACTGCTGGCTAGGAACCCCTCTTTCCAGGGGGTGCTTACTAGGCCCCTGCCAGCTGGAGAACGACCCAAGCCCATCTCTCTCCAGTGATACCATAACACCCTGTCTTTACATGACTGGAAACCCATAATACTTAGCAGAGCACCTAGCATCCAGAAAGCACTCAATAGTTTTTGAAAGAAAAAAGAATGAGAGATTATAAAATTTTTGGAAGCTAAGAAAGTCTCCTCTCAGATTACCAGTGGGCTTAGCAATGCAATCAACCACAGTGTCAAAGGACATGAGAATTCTATCTGAGATAACCTTTCTGATAGGTGTCTCTCAGGGCAGCTAGAGTCAAGGAGCAAGCATCTTTTAATTTCATGGCTGCAGTCACCATCTGCAGAGATTGTACTAAGAGACAACTGGTATGAAATTTTATACATATAAATATCCACCCACCTTTTCTACTCTAAGCCCATGCCCAGAAGAAAGACTCATGGACATTTTAGCCTGCTTTCACAGAACTCGGCATGTGCATATTTATCACTGCGCATACAGTGGTATGTCGGTAGATGTGGCAGAGGGTGGTGAGATGCTAGCAGATGGGCTGGTGAGTACCTGAGGAGACTGGCAAGGAGGAAAAGGCTCGATGGAGTATGATCAGTTAATCCCAATCTTCACGGGATGGCCTCATCCCTTCCTACCTACATTCTACCTGCCTCAGTTCATTCCAATCCTCATCCCTTCCTACCCTGCCTGAATTCCTATGTATGTCCATCAGTAAAATACTCCTCTCAGCTCTCCAAAATCTCCGCCTCATTTTTTCATCAGAATGAAACTGAAAAAGTGCTTATGTGTGCGTGGGACTGAGTACAATGTCACAACTGTCAAACACAGAGGCCCAGCATCCTACTCTTCCCAGTATCCAGTCTCGAGCTGCATCCAAACATCTTGATGGTCCTGTACTGAGGTCTCACAACTCAGCAGTGCCTTGTGCAGGTGAGCTGTGGTCAGTCTGAGAGGTTTCCAGGAACAGCTGTTGATTAGCAAGACCTTCACAGACATAGAGTGGTGGTAAGCTTCTCAGCTCTGTCACCCTCAGGGGGAGTTTGGTGATTCTCACTCTGAGCTATTGCATTTCCTTTCAATGATGGGATGTGGAGAGGAAGCTTTACTGGTGACAGAATAACTTCTGCTCACCTCACGAGTGGCGCAGATGGTGAAGAATCTGCTTGCCGTGTCGGAGACCAGAATTTGATCCCTGGGTCTGAAAGATCTCCTGGAGAAGGAAATGGCTACCCACTCCAGTATTCTTGCCTGGAGAATTCCATGGACAGAGGAGCCTGGTGGGTTACAGTCCACGGGGTTGCAAAGAGTGGGACATGACTGAACATCTAACCCTTTCACTTTCACCTCCCTCCCAAATCTCACCAGATACAAGAAGCAGGGTTTGATTCTTCCTATGAGACCTCTATTTCAAGCCTCAGCAGAAGCTAAAGAGTTGCTTTCATGCATATTTTCATCGTGCTCTCACAAGTCTGTGTTTAAATATCTCACAAGTTTTTAACTATGGTATTCAATTATCTACAGTTCAATGCTTGTTGTCTATATTTACATCTCTAAAATAAAAATAAAAATTTCCTCGGTTAGTAATGATTATTACTAGATAATAATTTTAAAGACTGCTAAAATTTGTAACAATCATTATTAAGAGCACTGTGATTGGGCTCCATGCACATTGTCTCTTTTCCTTTGTCCTCGTTTTACAGATGGGGAAATTTACAAGGCTCAGACAAGGTGAGTGATATAAAAGTCACCAGTGGGTGAAACTGGGATTGGAATTGGAGACACACTCTGCTTCTGCTGCCTGAGGCTTCATCCATGTACTGTTTTCATTATGAGTTATTACTGCATTGCCATGCTTTCCTTTTAAGAGCAGCCTGGTTTTGGGAACACTTAGGGTTCTTCTGTAACAAGGTGAAGCTACCCACAGCATCTCACTTACAGCTAAATGGAGCGGACTCTTGGTAGCACCGGAATCTGACTCTTCAAAAACACTGTTGGTTCTTTCCAAAAGCTGTGGAGATGAAAAGAAAACAACAGTATGTGAGTACAATCTGCAGAAGGAATCCTACTTTACAGATACTAATGTTGACATAAATGAAAAAGGACGCTTCAGAAACTTAAGAAATCATGCAACTTACCAGAAATATAAGAAATCAGATACAGCATATCTAAAACAAATATGTTAACTGAATATTTCAACTTCTAGGTCATCTTAGCATTTGCTGTTTTTTAAAAAAGAGCTTTCATACTTGAAAAGTTGCTTAGCTTCACCAGTCTAGAAAAATAATTCTTGTTAAATCTACTTCCCACCCAGTAGTTAGCCATAATGAAAAAATGACAATACCCAGGGTCTATTCCACTATCAAACACATATTTACTGCAGATAGTGTTGAAAAAGACTTATGAAACTCTTTATTTTCATGAAGCTTAAATTCTAGAGAGAGAACACAAACAAATAAACATACACATAAGAAAATAATCTGGTAGTGAAATAAGCTTATAATGAAAATAAAGTAGGGTGATGTGAAATGGAGTGACTGGGAAGCTTTTTACAGCTGACAGCCAGGGGAGGCTTCTCCAAGGAGATAACAGTTAAAGTGGGACTTCAGTAACAGAAGAATTGTGGCTGGAGAGCATTCAGGGAGGAGGGAGGAGTTAATGCAAATATATCAAGTGGGGATGAACAGAGTGAGCTCAAGGAATGGAAGGAATAGTGGGATGAGGGCGTGATGTTGGTGAGGGTATCCGGTAAAAGACATTTTCATTGACTCTTGTTGGAAGAACAAATTGTTAAAACCTTTCTGGGCAAGCCTGTGCATACCTTTGACATCAGGAATTAATTCCTACTAAATAATTAGACAAGCACACAATGGCACATGTATAAAGAAACATATTCATTTAAAAAATGTGCCCAGACGCTGCTCCAGGCAGTGAAGGTTCAATAATAAATAGTATAACAGGAAAGGAAATGAGAGAGAGGGCAGGAAGGGTGGTAGTGTCATAAGGAGCCTTTGGGCTGCTGTAAAAAGTTTGGGGCTTTTGTCTTGAATGAGATGGAATTTCACTGGTGCACTTTGAGGAGAGGGCTGACTTGTTCTCACTTTTAGACTCTAGAGAGGGCACAGAGGCCGCTGATGGGTTGGGGCAAAAGTCCAAGAAAGAAATAACAATGGCTTGGAGCGGTGGGGTGGAGAAAAGTGTTGGATTGTGGATATTTTTGGAGGCAGAATCAACAGGATTTGCTGATGGATTGAATGTGAATGTAAGAGAGAGAAAGAAAGGATGATGCTCAGGATTTTGTTCCATGAACTGAAATGGAGAAGTGAGTAGAATATACATAATGGGAAAAAACAGAAGCTCAATTTTAGAAATGTTGTATTTGAGATGTTTTTAAAGCTTAAAAACATACATGTTGGCCAAGCAGCTGTTGGATACACGGGTGTGGACTTCATGGTATTTAAAGCCATAAGATTGGATAGGATGAGCCAGGAAGTTAAGCAGAGAAGAGAGACTGAATCCTGGGGGACCCAACACTGAGTTACAGAGATGAGGAGGAACCAGCAAGGAGACTCAGAATGAGTAGGTGAGATAGAAAGAACATCAGGAGAGCATGAAGTTCTGGAAACCACGTGAAGAAAGAGTTTTAATGAGAGGATGCATAGCCATGTCAAAAGTCAAGTAAAAGATCAAGTAAAATGGGGCCTGAGAATTGCCCACTGGGGGTAGGAACATGGAGGCGATTAGAGACTCTGCGAAAAGCAGTTTATCAAGACACTGTTTATATGGGAAAAAAAGAGTAAATAGCAATAGGGATGAACTGAATAAATTGCAATGGTATACATCACCACTTCTGATAAACTATCCCTCTTTATGTTGCCAGTTTGTGCTTCTTTGTATAGTGATGCATCCAGAAGAGACAAAACCCAAACGCCCAGAGCCTCGATGAGTGGTGAATATGGCAATATTCAATGTCCACTCCAGGCTCCTGACTGATGGGCTTGGGCTGCCTTATACTGCAGGGACTGGAAAGCTCAAAACTACATTTCCTAGACTTCCTTGAACTAGGATTCCAGACATGATTTAGGTTCTGCCAGTTAGATGCACTAATTTGAAATGTTAGAGACAGAGTGAGTAGAGGACATCTTTGATTGCTGATGCTAAGCAGAGTCATGGAGACTTTGGTTTGTCCTTCAGCTTCCCGTGTGCAGGCTTCGTGAGGGGAGAGGAGCAAGACACGGGGATCCAGACAGCCATTTCCAACAGTGTGGATCAAGCAGATGCGGTGTGGCTCTCGGGCCAGTAGTGGTGACAGTGACAAGCTGGCTCCTGTGTGTCAGCTGGGGCGATGTGTCTGTGGAACAGCCATTCCACGGCTGTTTTCTGACTCTCCATCTCTCTGGTCACGGGGAGGGGGCAGGAGCCCGGACAATCCAAGTTCATCAGTTCAGGTGTATTTCTGGAGGATCAGCCTAGGGTCCCCTCTCCTAGACTTCCCAACAATATTACAAACACCTGTTTTTTAAAATATCAAATTTAAAAATTTTCTGTTTTTCTGCTTAAAACAGCTAGATGGCTTTTGTTTCCTTCAAATGAACCTGACTGATTCAAAAAGTAATACAGATTTAAGTTTTCTTAATGAGGGGTGGAGAAAGGGAAAATACACCATCCAGTACACTAGAAAGCGAAACTTCCTAACATGCTCTTTATTCAGATTTCTCCTGTAAAGGAGAAACCTGTCAAGTGGAAAAACACATTTTAAAGCCATATGTGTGGAAAGATACCGTTTTCATTTCAAGAACTATACTGATATGTCTACCTATGCAGAAAAGAAAGGTGAGAAACGTATACCTTAAAATGTTTTAATACAGTAGCCTAAAAGTGGGAGATTAGATGATTTTTATTTTCTTCTTTATCTTTCTTGATTTTTTTTTTTTTTGGTGAATATATATTGATTTTTTAATAAAAACACTAAAGCTATTCCTGTTTGGAATAAAAGTGATGAACATTTCTTTTCATTTACTAGAATAATGTTCACAGACCCCTAGGTAAGTCCATCCTAGACCTGGGCCTAGCCTATTTCTAGTTCTGTGGCTCTTTCTAGTTTTAGTTCTGTGGCTAGAACTTCTTTCTAGCCAATGCATGTGGAAAAAAAAAAAGAAAAAAAGGTTGCATTCTCTGGCAGATCAAATATCAGTGTAACACTGATCATCTAAAAGCACATAATTTCAAATTTTCAAGTAAAACAATACAAATAATTATATCCGAAGCATGAGGCATTATGTTTTTATTAGTGTGAAAATAGAATTTGGAACTGAAGCAATCTATGATATATTAGAATAATGAGAGTAAATTTCACTTTAACTTCAAAGCAAATAACTTTAAAAACCAATCTGCTGTACAAAGTTGAAATAAAAGCAGCCTCAACTGCTTGAAAAGGCTAGAGAACAGCTGTTCTTTGCTTTGTTTTGCAACATTATCACCTGCAAGACTTCCTGGAATTGACAGTGTGTACCAACTCCAAATCCTGTCCTAGAACGAACTTTTAATCAAAGGAACACAGAATCATTTCCACTATTATTACAAACACGATGAACAGAAGCAAGAAGACAATATACTGTTTATAGTCACAAATGAGCCATATTCCCAGAAGATTTACTGTGGAAGACCATTTTTCTACACGTGTACCTTGATTATCCTAATAGCGTGGGGTGCTTTACTTCAGTCATTTGCTTAATGTTATCTATCTGGGGGGCCTTGGGTTAAGAACCAGATTCAACTGTGCAGCAAGCAGATGTGGTCACTGACTTAGGAGAGCTTTGAGGCTAGTGGGGAAGCCACAGAAGTTAACAGGTAGTGAACACTGTGAGGCAAGAGCTAGGGTGCAAGATGCTCCGGGAATATGAAGGAAGAGGTACCTGACATAACCTTGGGGGGGTCAGAGAAGGCTCCTCTGTAAAGGAAACTGTACCCTGAGACCAGGACGGTAGGAGTCTGCCAGGTAAAGACGGAAGGGACTACTCAGGCAGAAGAAAGAGCTTGTGAGAATAGTGAGTGCAACACCAAAAGCTTTAAGTTCGGTAAGACTAGATAACATGTAGGACTGAAGAAAGAGTGAGGGGCAATGAGGCTGCAAATGTAAGCAGACAATAGATTAGGTCCAGGGTGATCACATCATTACTGTCCAATCCAGGCCATTTTTCAGATTGAAATGGGGCTGGGATAATAGCTGTAAGGGCTTCCCTGCTGGCTCAGATGGTAAAATATCCGCCTGCAATGCAGGAGACCTGGGTTCAGTCCCTGGATCAGGAAGATCCCCTGGAGGAGGAAATGGCAACCCACTCCAGTATTCTTGCCTGGGAAATCCCATGGACAGAGGAGCCTCACGGGCTTCAGTCCATGGGGTCACAAAGAGTTGGACAAGACGGAGCAACTAACACTTCCACTTTAAACAGCCGTAAAGCAGAGCATCAAATCAGGATAATTCCTGAGACTCACTGAAGCGCTTT